TGTCAACCTATATCTATCAGCGTTTTACTCCTAATTGATAAAAAAAATGATGTACATGAGAGGATGAGAGTTCAAAGCGCCTATTTTTTTTAAGAGGTTAAATATCCCCTTCCACCCCCCCTCCCCGCACACACACACACACCACACACACAAACGTACATTCTCACTCACCCACGCAATATTAATTGTTTGATCCTAAAAGATTTCATATACCCGTGGGTCAAGGTTGGGTATAGAAAGTACTCTTGCTTCAACATGATTTGCTCTATAACAGATAATACTTAAACCTTCATTGTTTGTTTGTGTTACTGCTGGGGAAAGCAAGACAAATAGAGAAAAATAACAGGGCGGGGGTAGGACCTAACATGAACAGTGGCGCCCACCAACCACCCTCAATGGAAGCTTAAAACAGATTTTGAGAGTAGATGGTTGGTGGGTGCTCTGGTGTGGTTTGCTCCTTTTTTCCTATCCAACATCTATCATCCTAATCTCTCCCCCTTCTTTTTTTGTGTTTGTTACTCTCTTGTCTTCGGCACTCATATGACCTTATTGTCTTGCAAGTACCGTAAAACTCTTAATAAAACTGGACTAAAAGATTTTGGGACTGCTTGCTCTGGTTTGATTTTGTCACCCAAAAGAAACCGTTTCAGAGCCCAAACGAATGGGTGCGGCAAGAGGAAGTGAAACCGAGAAGGTGGCGATTGACCAGACACACGTTAAGAAAATCGATGACAAAGTGGCAAGTATTAACAAGCTAGACACTGGGATGGAATCCTCTGGATCAGGGAAACAGAGGGAGGTTGAGAGTGATATTGAGGAGAGAAGCTGAAAGGGATGATTTAAATTTTTACGGTCAAATCAACTCGATTTAGATCATGCTGGAAGCTAACTATTTGACTCTTGTCTGTCAGGGCCAACCTGTTGCTGAGTGGAATACTACGGAATCTCAGTAAGCATTCAGAGATACACTATGAAACATCCTCCCGACACGTGAATCGAACTTACGTCTCCTGTGTGCAATGGCAAAGAGAAAACACGTTGCACGACAGACGCCAGGAATCATTATGTTCTTCTTTGTGATAGAAATATAAATGCAATTTTTACGTCTCTAGAGGCCCAGTTTTGGCCAAGAACGTTTTATCAAACAGGTTTGATTTTTTAAAAAGGATTTGAAGGATTTTGTTCAGCTGTTACAAAGCCGTAACGTTTGTCCCTTCCTAAGTGAAGATCAGGGCAACCTCAGCTGTATCAGACCATATCAAATAGGGTTATACGAATTGTATTTTCTGGACTGTGCACTGGGTTTAACGACCCTTTCAAAGCTGCAATTTTGTTGAGGGGAAAAGGGATGAAAAAACGGTTGGGGCAGGGGGGGAGGGGGAGTCGGTCGTTGAGGCGAGATTTTCTAATGTAAGGTCCATCTCCGGTGCTTGTCTCCAGTTGGAAGTTCGTTTGTCCCGGCCCGACGGCTGTGTGATGTGACATGGTGGGGTTTGAACGCTTTTATGAACACTGTAAAGCTATCAGTGAGGTAGAGCCTGTGATTGTAATGTCCATCTCCAATGAGACTGAATGAAGAAGGTACGTGGGG